TTCCCGGACTTGTATTTCCTATCATGATTTCCTTGATAGAGGATTGCTGCTCACAAGGAAGCTATTAAACCAAGAGTTCCAAATGGTGAAGTTGAAATCATCCCTTCGTAAATTTTACGGACGCCATCACGAGTTATTTGACCGTTATGGAATAACCGTTTCACAGATGAAATGTTCCTTATGTCGTAACTACAATATCCTTCCCTTTTCACGAATGTGACCTACTGAATTAGACTATTTACCGGATTTGTAATAACATAAGCGACACGACGGGTGCCACATGTGGAGCAGGATCTGCTTACCCTTTCGGAGCACTTGATATCACCCCCAGTTTTTGGTGGGGTTCGTGTTGCTTAGCCTTCAGTTTTCTATGTTGTGTCATCTGTACTATTATTTGTCTGTTTGCCTTTTTATTTTTGGCCATGGCGTTGTCAGTTTGTTTTCGATCTATGAGTTTGACTGTCCCTCTGGTATCTTTCGTCCCTCTTTTATGACGTTTGTACATATTCAAATATTCATTTATACATATTACATTAGCTGTATTTGGCAAAATCTTTCGGATTTGGGGTTCTCAATGCTTTACAACTTCGTACTTTATTTGGCCTTATAACTTTTAACATTTTTTATTCGAGCGTCACTGATGGTTTGTTGATTGTACACATACATAAATGAGTTGGTCGTAAATATCGTTAGCCTCTTGTGTAATATGCATACTGAGCTTGAGGTGTATGCTCCAATACTTTTAAAGATTACTTTCCACCTCGCTTTTGTTATTCATCTTTTTTAATCAAAATCATAGTTTGAAATAACTCATCAAATATTCAGGCTTATAATGTGTTACGCTAAGTGAAAGTTTCCTCTATATCAGGCTCATTAATGGAACCCGAATGAAAACAGTTGAAAGGTTAAATCAAATATGAGCTGAAGAGCATTGAAAACAAAGATTTATGAATACTGTTGCCTTATATAGCTAAGGCCATCTATGACTGGTGGTAAAAAAAACCATAGTGTTTCAATCTAATCAAAATTTGATAGACACAAAATTCACAAAACAATGTCAACACAAAAGGACTCACAACTAGGCCGGTGATACCGTCTGAGACGAAATTGCAGCAGCATGAGAGTACATTCGGGAATAATATAAGTTAGATGTGGCACGATCGACTATAGGTCAACATACGGCCTACAATAATGAGCAAAACCCTTACCGCATAGCAAGCTATACAAAACTTCGACATGACAAAAGTAAAACCATTCAAACGAAAAAACTAACGACAAGTTTCATGTACAAAGCGATAAACAGAACACAAATATGATACACAGCAACAAAAAAACAACCACTGAATTACATGCTACTGACTTGGAACAGGTAAATACAGAATGTTATAATTTTAAAAATGTTTGCGGTTACCCAACCCTCCCCTGCCCTGCGACAACACAACATAAGATCACACTATACACATCGGTTGAAATGGGTCAGACTACTCAGATCGGTACAAAACACAAAAAGGACTATCAGAAGACTATTCACAAGTTACTGATCTAAGAGTATTCGCAGTTACTGAAATCTAGTTCATGTGACTATTCCACTTATGGAATCTCGTTAGAGATTTATTTTATAAGGTTTCAGTATTTTTGTCTTTAGGGATTTGGTGTTTATGACGGATCTTTAATATTCTCTGTTCAATGTTTTCCAACTTTTTTTGAACCGGTGCCATTTAGAGCAAGAATAAAATATAGACACTTGTCTTTAGATTGTTGCAGAAAATATTTGACCTCTAGATATGTCTTTTCCGATTTGCTGTCTCCAAGAACATATTTCTTTTGTATCCATTTAGTATAAATATATATAGCGTAGTTGTCGAGATTAAAACAGTTATGAACAAAAGACGTTCTTAGTAATAAAATTTAACAAATATAGTTCCATTTGGAATCTTTTCAAATGATTATAAATTGTAAAAGGTGCTTAGGATGAGTCTAATAGCGCCCGACACCTCAATATTCAGACAGTTTATTAGTTGTTTAACTCATTATGTAAGTGCCTGTTCCAAGTCAGAGTATGTAATTCAGTGTCTGTCGTTGGTTCTAGTTTGTCGTATATGCTTTTTATCAATAGTTGTGGCATAAATCAGACCGTTTTATTAATCATTCGCTTGAATTGACAGAATTGATAAATGATTCATTGGGATGAAAAAAAGGTTTGTAAATGTTATTTTGGGATATCTCGTTAGAGATTTATTTTATAAGGTTTCAGTATTTTTGTCTTTAGCGATTTGGTGTTTATGACATATCTTTAATATACTCTGTTCAATTTATTCCAACTTTTTTCTTGAACATGTTGAACCGGTGCCATTTAGAGCAAGAATAAAATATAGACACTTGTCTTTAATTTGTTGCAGACAATAGTTGACTTCTAAATGTCTTTTTCCCATTCGGATTGTTGTCTCCAAGAACATATTTCTTTTGTATCCATTTAGTATAAATATATATAGCGACCTTTCATCGTAGTTGTCGAGATTAAAACAGTTATTTACGAATCTTAAAATAACAACAAAAATCATCAACATCAAATTTATATTTGAACATAACAAATAACTTTAAGAAACGATAGTTAATAACTAGCTTTTAGGCTTCGAAAGACATAAGGTATTGTCATTTCTAAATTATCTAAATCTAAGATATACTTGTTTTGTGAGCATTAAACTCTACTTTTTCGTGGCCAAGCTAATTCAGTTATACTAACCCGCGTGGCCTAACAGTTTTTATGTACATTTGTGTCGGGGTATGTAAACAATTTTTTATGTGTCATTGCCATTCCATTTTTGCTTTATGAGTTTCCAGCTCTTCTTCTTTGTGGCCTATTGTATGAGTATTCACACTTCAATATATCTGTTTCTTGAGTATATCTGTTGCCGGGTTAAACTAGTTTCATGATTACTCAGACGTACCTAATTGCTTTGCGAGAATGTTTTCGGGTCGGTTAAAACTAGTCTTATGAGTCCTGACCTGCACCTAAATGCTTGTGAATAATCAACTCTCCCTCGTTGTGTTCGATCGCGAGTAACTTTGTGAGTAGTTATCCATGACTGTATTCGTGACTACCTTTGTGACTGTGTTAACATATTTTATGAGAACTTACATGCACCTAATTGTTTCGTGGGTATCTTTGTTAGCAATTAAATATTCGTTTGAATTGACACAAGATAAATAATTAATTAGGATAAAAAAGGTTTGTAAATGTTATTTTGGGATATCAGAGGTTTGTAAAAGACCAGCACTTCAGAATTGCCTTTCAAAAGTATCAATTAACCAGCCAATGATACATCGCTCTAACACCTTATTATTATATTAGTTCTTTCGATCAGATACTCCTTTTTCGACATGTTTCTTACAATAAAATAATCTTGATTTGATCAAGGGATCAAGGAATGTTTTTTTTTCTTGCTCTGATTATGTAACGGTTCGTGTTCCACATTTACATATTCCCATATATATATATATACATATCTCACCTGGTCATATGCCCAATATTATACTTAAATTCAGGATAAAGTGTTCATTGATAGTCAGTCAGTTAAATGATAAAAATGTGGTGGGGTAACCTTTGTATTTTCTTCTAAAGAAATATGAAATTAAACATGATAAGTCATTTATACATGAATTGTATAAAATTACATGACATCCGTTGGAAAACCACCTGTCTTGTATTATGTTATATAACGTTTGGGCACGCTTCTCAATTCAATTTACACATAACGTGAGTATTAACTATTCAAGGAGGAAGTTTACAGAAATGGTGTTAATAATTTTTGCGTCATGGTGTTTTAGAAAATGTATCTGCAGAATATTAGATGTCCACAATCCTAATCATTGATTCTGGTGATATATGAATTTATCAGAAGCACAAACATTGCAATCAAAACATGCATAAACACCTAGATGGAAGGGGGGTGGAGGGGGACGGTTCAGATATCCTTCATTTTTTTTTCTTCAATATTTTAGACTTTTTCCTCTGCTCCTTGTGTGTTGCTCCATTAGTATCTTTTCTGTAAACCCCATTTAGGCTTTCTTGCAGAAGTTTACATGAGTATGTATATTGTTTCATAATTCTGATATTCGTGTTTTTCCTTTTTATAGTACTGGTTCGATACCGCTGCTAATGTGCCATTTGAAACCGCTGGTTGTGTGGGATGTGTAAATATGCAGCCAGTTGTTGTCGAAAATGATAAGTATTATACTGTAACAGTATTCAGGAAGGCTATTGGCTATTTTTACATTGATAGAACAGTGTCTATTTTGAAATCATCATTCTTTTATCATTAGCCGGATTTAACTTATAACGTTGCATTCTGTCAAACCATTTTCTATAATTTCCCTATATAATTTGATATAATCAGAAATGGCTAAGTCTAGTATTTGCATTATAACCCTCAAAATAACTCTGATCAAAATATGAAATAACAAGGTACACATCGTCAAGTACTGCAAAAAGTAACTATGTAAGCTTAGTTCTATTTGCTCAAGCAGTCAGACAGAAATAAACGAAAATAAATTTCAATATGTTAAAAATCACAAACATCTTTGAAACTGAATAGATGATATTATGATAGAAAAGTTCAGACAACGAAGCATTCAATAAGAACTTCTTTTAAAGTAAAAATATAAAAAACGGAAAAACCAGTTCTATTTCTGTACCATAAGTGCTTTCGGAATAGTTTAATATTCCACTAAAAATACATTTATATCAATTGTAGACATCCTGTTTATTTAAATTTTCTAAAAAAAGGACATTTAAAATAATATTTTCTTGTGTGAAAAAAATAAATAGATCAATATCAAAAACAAAGATACTTTTACACAAAACAATCTAACAAGAAATTTTTTTAATGAGTAGGATAACATCATTCAAAATTCAAATTCAAAACAAGATTAGTATAAGAAATTAGTCATAATCCTGTTACACAAAGTTAAAAAAACAAAATGAAATTTAACTCATATTATTAAAGAGCATAACTACCTTGCACTAATCTCACGTTTATCAAAGGGTCTGGATTATGTATCCATAACAGAAAATAATGGATCAAAATATAAAGAATGGCGAAAAATAGATCACACAATAATAAGCAATTCAGACTAAAATAAAATATAAAGGATAGAGAATAATGAGTAAAAACATAAAGAAAAGTAAAAACTGGCAACAAATTTCGAAATCATTTTAAATCACGACCCCAGTGCACACCCACTTTTATTATTTGTGCTTAACTGGCATGTTCAGTTTAACTTTGTGTCATCTAGCTTGGGCGAACAGCTGTATGTCCTCTAGTCAAAGGTTTTCTGCAGGGTAGGACGGTCAAATAGAAAAGTGCCTGAATAATGTCAGGTGAAAATCTGTTAAAATCATTTCATATGTTTAATTCGCCACTGAGAAAACTTCATCGTTTTGATAAAACGAGTTGCAAATTGTTGTGTTTTTTTACCAGTTAAGGATGTCCGCTACTCTGTTTCAAAATAACAAGCTTTTTAAAAGACTGTTATAAATTGATAGTAAATAAATAAAGGAACTAAAAAAGCAGAAAAAAATGAAGGGTCCGTGTGCTTGTTTTCGAGATATAAGCCATTGAAAATTTGGCGGGAAATAATTCTCTCTAGCCTTTTCATACATTTAACATTGGCACCCTTTTTCTTTAAAAAATTATGAAAAAATAAAAAGGATTTTATAGCATTTTCGAATATAGCTTTTCATACTATATGTAATAAAATTATGAAAAGAAAAGTAGGGGTTAGCGGGGAATATTTTTTAGTGTCAGTACATGGATAACAGCAGAGGATTCCGAATATCTGGCAAAAATTCAAAATCAAGAGGTGCGAACATCCTTAAAACGCAGTTATTATGTTTTCATACCGATTGTAATTGGCACGACCCTCTTCTCCCTTAGGTCTTCATAGAAAGGTTATCATACTAATGAATACCTTTTTTATAATAGAACTGCTGATCGTTGACATGTCATAACAGACAAGTGTTTTTGCTGCAAAATAGAATCACAACAGACACTGACACAACAGTGAGATGCTGTTTGGTTAAGAAAACTCTTTTGTCATATGTTGTTTTGTCGTTGAAAAAAACATAACATTTTTGTTGTTAAAAAAAAACACCATTTTTCGTGGTTTCCTAAACAGCAAAACTATCCTTTTGTTTAGATTATTAGAAGAAAATAAATCCATTCTATCATATAATTCAAATTTATGAAAAAAGATAAAAGGAGCATGATTTTCAAAAAGTAAATCTTCCTTGTTAGTAGCTTTAACAGACACAATTTACAGAAAACAAGTCAAGCAATTCAAACACAATCTCGTATAATAAAAAAGCAAAATGAGGTTGTTAAATTTGATGTATGCCTTTTTGTGCTTCTTTGTTACATTTGTTTGTTTTTATAGTGATTTAGGTGATAACACAATGTTGACTGCTGTACCCCTATTTTTGACATTTTTACCTATTGTGTCTGTTTGTTTTGTTCCCGCATCGTTGTCAATATTATGGAATTTGATGCGACTGTCATACAAGAGACAGGTTTAGCTAGATATAAAACCAGGTTGAATCCACCATTTTCTACATAATAAAATGCCTGTACCAAGTCAGGAATATGGCAGTTGTTATCCATTCGTTTGATGTGTTTGGCCTTTTGATTTTGCCATTTGATTAGGGACTTTCCTTTTTGAATTTTCCTCGGAGTTCAGTATTTTTTGTGATTTACATTTTCACATGTACATTCTGAGGTTAAATGGATGGTTTAAAAATTTATCTGGCGTCCTTCAAATGCAATTGGCCTATACCCGTGGTAAAATACAAATAACCTGAATTTCAACTAAACAGCCACATTATACTTTGTTTTCACTGCTCCAATATGTACCCCCATGTCGTAAGAATTATAAATAAATACGGAAACATACAAACAGAATAGATGATACAAATTTGTTGAAAGAACGATTTCTTACATAAAAATCAGATTTATTAAATGTGTTAAGTAAGTAAGTAGGTAAATTATTTACACAACACATTGTCGTCGGTATCAAACTATTTGAAAAAACCTCCATTGAATATTGTTTCAAATAAATAAGCTAGAGACTGCTAGTCTAATATATCAGGTGGCAAATGAAAACCCATTGAAGGAATATTAGAAAAAAAAACATAAAACTACAAATGTAACAAGCAATAAAAAAATATCACTGAACGTGCATGTCTAGCAATGATAGTCACTCATTAGTAAACCTACGTTTCTTCTTTTTACTTGAAAATCAAACGATAATAATTGCAATTATTTAAAAGGTGATCCTAGTAACATCAAACTTGACAGAACAAAGATCAATCTCAATACTATGTGCAAGAGAATATCATCCAATCGTACACAACCGATAGTTGCTGAAAACAAAACAATCAATCGTGCAGATCTCCTATCAAAAAAACTTCACTGTTTTTTTAAACGCAGTGTGAATTTAACAATTTTCGCATATTGAAGAAATAATTTTAAGTAGATACACACAAACAAGAAGCCTTAAGCATGCATTAAGGTCTGATACACCCTAAACTAGAATGTAGGGTCGAATCCAAAACGGATTCATCAGGAGGATTTAATAGCCCTTTTAAGCTGTTCCCAAAAGACAACATCGCCGTACTCATCATTCGGATACTCAATGTACGATTGGCAGTGCACCAGTTCGAGTATTTGAAGTGGAAGATCGCAAGCAGAAATTTGCTCGTAAAATATCAAGAAAAGGATGTTCTCACAATTACGCTCATAGATACTCTCCATTCTAGCCATATTATATTCGAACATACACCAGTACGAAACTAAATAATTTGAAGAAATTATGACAATTGTTTTTTGGCTATTGTGAATTGCGGATGTGATATTAGTGGCGATGTCATTTCCGGGTAAGAAATTCCGCTTGTGCAAGCACAACTCAATTCCACCATCTTTCTCTAATTTATTAAGAAGTGTATCGTGAACAAAAGGTTGATCTTCGTCGGCATATGAAACGAAAGCATCATACATATATAATCTCTCATCTGTGTCTGATTTGTATTCGCCTTGGTGCCATTTGACCTTGACCATGTAGTATAAATAGCGGAGTTTCCATCTGAATCTGTAGCTGATACCGCCAGAAAGAATAGAAATGAACATCAATATTCCCATCGTAATTGCAATTATTATACCGGCATATGACATGCAATCCTTTTGAAGCGTTTTGAAAATTTCTTCAGGGTTGTGAAGGAAAATGTTTGTGTTGTTCGACATTTTACATTCATATTTTTTCCAACCATGAAGATGAGTAGGTGTGTTTACCATCCATTGGACGAAAGATAAAGAATCGCAGTTGCATACAAGATTATTGCCACCAAGATCGATTGTAAAATTTGCACTTGTTTTGGCAACCGAGTCCAACGTGTTCAAGGCATATTTACTGAGCTTCGATATCTGATTATTCCTTAAGTTCAAAAACATAAGTTTTTTCATATGAGAAACTTTAAATGTGATATCTTTGATCATGTTTTCATTGAGGTCTAAATGTTCTAAATTGTGTTGCTTTTTAAAAAACAAATTTGGTATATTCTGAATTTTGTTTTTAGACAGATTAATGTAAACGACGTTGTTCAGATTCTTCAATATTTCACCGTCACTATCTAGCGGTATGACGTGCCCTAAATTGTTGTCTTGTAATAATAAGGTTTTTAAATTATTGAAATCCGGACTGAAAAATGATTTTGAAACATTTGAACAAGTGTTCGATGATAGGTCTAAAGATGTCAGATTTTTTACATTATATACTGGTCCTGTCCACGTATGTAAGGCATTGTCACTCAAACTAAGATTGTTCAGTTCATTTTCAGTAAAACTCACATGTGGTATTTCATATTTCAGTCTGCTTGATCTAATTAAAAATGTTCTCAATTTTCGTGGTACTGGAATTTTTAAAACAAAATTCGAAGATCTTTTTTTCATTCTTTCAAATAATGTAATTATCTCATACAACCAGTTGCTATTGGAATTAATTGTAACAGTATATTCTCGAGGAACACACATCTCTAAGTAGGTTGTTAGCACATTGTGAGCGGAATAAGTATGAGAAAAATCAACAAAAGTGATATGCATCGCTAGTAAGTCATTCATATATTGGCCAAGAGCAAAAACGTTGTCCCTAAAATCTACACTTTCAAGGGACTTAGGAAAATATCCTAATGCGCCAGATTCGATGCTTTTAATTCGATTTCCAGCTGCTTCGAACCTGATAAGTGACGTATTTTTCAAATTCCTAATGTGAGAAGATTTAAGTACTGAAGTCATTTCGAATATACCATAAATATAGTTAACTTTGAGGACTTTTATTGCTGATTGCATAATATCTGTGGTTATATTTTCAAGAGCCGGAAATCCCAAACATGTATTTAACGAAACATCAAGCTCGGAAATGTTTCTCATATTCGTAAACGTTCCATTGTAAATATATTGTATTTTGCATTTTGATATGTTTAGATAAGTTATTTGAGGCAAGAACAAGAATGTCTCCTCCGTAAGTATATTCATTTTGAATTTACCGGTAAAACCAGATAGATCTATAAATGTTAGGTATTTCAAATACACAAATTTTTCATCGAGAATTGCAATTTTGTCTGAAATGAAATCCATTGACAAAGATTCAAGTGATTGAAGTTTCGATAAATCTGGTACGAATGAAGTGTTGAAATTTTTTTTCAAATACAAGCTTTTCAAGCTCTTCAAGAAATAAAAAGCTGCATATTCAAACGATATCCTTTCATATTTCAAATCGTTGTTGCTGAGATTTAAAGAGAGTAAATTGTTAAGTCCTTTGAACGAGTTTTTTCTTATTTGTTTTATTCTGTTAATAGACAAATCCAAAGACTGTAATAAAATGTTTTCCTCGAAAATACCATCGTCTATTATACTGATGTTATTCGTTCGGAAAGATAATTCTACAAGAACGTTCGGTAGCCTAGGTATACGGTGCAGATTTGTGTCAGAACAGTTTGCTATTAGAAGTTCTGAACCGGGATCTTTTCTACAAACACACAAACTTTCAAAATGGCATGTCTTAATTCCATGGCATCTTGAATTTTGAAAGCATACTAGTATCACAAAAGTAGTAACTAGGCTATAACACAGGTTGGTGTGCCCTGCAGAGAAAATGTGAACTTTTATTATTTTCTTTTTCCTAATTTCACCTTTTTTATCTCAACATTACCCATAGCATAGCACTTTTCACATTTTTAGGATACCCGATGAAAGAATGATTAAAGGTGAACTATATAGTCTGTTCGAAAAAAAACCTAGAGAACAATGTTCTTGCAATTGAGTTTATAGAAACTATCCATATTATTATTATATTACTCCAACACAATTAGTTAAAAGTTTGTTGTTTTTTTTTTTTATTTTTTACTCTCCTATCTTTTCAATGCAACGCATTTTTCGGGTATTTATGTATGTTAACTAAGTGATTTTTTCCATGTATTATTTATTTTATTTTAACTAAATTGATCCTTATTCTAAATCAAAATATCGAATTTCAGTTTTACTTAAGTAATCTTAAATTAGATTAATATAATATAAGTTAGAATGAAACAAACAATTATAATTCTGCAATTTGCATGCAAATCCCTTCCACAAAATTTCAGAGACGTAGGTTCATTTCGAAATAGCAGCACTAACTCTCATCATTGAAAATGGAAATAAACATTTTAATATTGTAAATCAAAAATCTGAAAGAAGTTACAGCAAGTTAAGTATTTCAAACACTTGATAATTCGATAGAAATAAACGCATACATACATACATGTGTACATACCCATTTTAAGTCAAATTTTATGAACTTGCTAGAAACACAACAGATCATGCGGAATTGAATTGTAAATAGTGTGGAAAGTTCAAATTGCGTTTTTTAAAAATCAAAGGTCTACAAATTGAGCGAATGAGAAAAAAGTACAAAGGTTTTTTTTAATTGACAATGATCTTTAAAATGATACGTATTAGAGCGAAATCAAAGGTCAACAAAATTAAACAAAACGGAAAGTTCAAAATTCGCACAGACGGAAGATTTGAAAAAAAGTTTGAATAACAAAAGGAAACATTTTTGTAAAATATGTCGTTCAAATGTAAATTTATAACCATACTATTTCAGTTTGAAAGAAGTTTTTTTCTTGAACCATGTGCATTTCGGAATTGTATAGTTTAAAACTAATTTTAAACAAGAATTTAATTTCATTGATGTCAATGTTCGTTGGTGATGCACTTAACTTAAATTGGAAATGAAAAACTATTAATCGCGAGTAAAGATCAAAGTTATACAAGACCAGCATAGCTGTTTATGAAAATATATATATATAATAAATGAAATATATGGTCTAAAAGTGATCAAAGATACAAAGCTATTAAGTAAGTACCCCAAGATTTAGTGCACGTTTTGTCAGCATACATCTCATTGGTTAGGATCGAATCTATTCAATTGGAAAGCCAAATCATTTAAAAAATGAAAAACATTGAAAATATTTATTTCAAAGGAGGATGTATGAAAATCGAAAAGTCAAAAAGTACTATAAATCTTCCAAATAACATCCGGCAGGTCTTCAATAAACATTAGCCTGATATCATTATTTACAGTTTTGAAATATGTCTGAAAAGTTTTCATTTAGGCTTCAAACTTCATCAAACTAGTTCAAAACTGCAGAAAAATCAGAATTACCCTCATTTTGATATATTATCTCTAATATTTAGATTTAAGCAAAGAATTTACAAAACAAAAATAAGGAAATTTTGTTATCAAATAAGTTTTATAAACAAGTCAATGAGTATCTATTTGGGTAAAGCCCTTGCTCATATCTATTTTGTCAAAAGCTTTGTGTATACTTGTCATTTTTAGACAAAAGTCAATTTTAACATCATGTATAACGTCATATTGACATGATAAATGCTCCTTCACTAGAGTGTCTAGATTATTTTAACCTGTTCCTTTATCAATAAAAACACGAAGTTAAAGAGCCGGGCACTGAAAATAATGAACTGAAAAATGACGACATGGATGCTTTTATGGGTATAACTGTACTGACTACTGAGCTAGTGAAACTTTTAAACTTTGAATGGTAGTTGGAGCTAAAGTTTGCGCTACTACTACTTTGTTTAACCTTTTAGTGATTTACGCTCTTGTTCTTATTATTTGAATATTTGGGTTTTTTTTTTAATTTACTGGTCTTGCAACTGAGAACTAGTTCAATGAAAGTCTGATTTTACTTTTGTAGTTCCGTGCTTGAAAAGACCACTATCATCAGGTCGGGCTAGTTACATTTTGTCCGTCTGTCTGTTACACATTTCTTCATTTACAACACTAGACTTTTTTATATGTAGGAGCTTTAACCCTGAAAGTGACTGTAAAGTTGTACTGAAATTGTTTTTCATATTTAAGTCAAAATTAAACATATTGAGAGAGATTACATGAGATGCAGCTTATTTAACTGCTTGTGGTATGAAACCGATGGGATAAACAATTTAATGAACTTCTACCAGAACACTTGAATTTGTGACTTCAACCGTAAATTCATTGAATACAATCGATAACCTTATATCGGTACACCGCCAGGTCCTGTCCTGTCTCGTGATGAAATTGAACCAGACCTATTCACATACTGGTATAGAACAGGCAAAAGTAGTATACCGCTGTTCAAAAGTCATATACAAACTAAAACCGAGGGAAACGCATCAACTATAAGAGGAAAACAACGGAACAAAAGAAACACTGAACTGCAACAAAAACAAACGCCAACATAAATAGAAACGGACTATTTGATAACAACTGCTATATTCCTGACTTGGTACAGGATATTTAAAGAAAAAATGGTGGGTTGAACCTGGTTTTATGGCTAGCCAAACTTCCCGCTTATATGGCAATGTTAAAAATACCGCTATAATAACAACACTACGTGACAGGAATACAGTACAAACAAATGTAAGAACACTCAGCACAGAGAAATACAGATAGTCGGATATTATGAAATTTGAACTGCGGTCAAGGTCAAATGTTAGCATCTAGTTAATCGTAAGACCAGACTAGTCACTTTTTATCAACTGTTTGAATAAGGTCATAGAAGCTACGTATGAGGATGCTTGGGTATTAGATCCATCAGATATTTTATATCTTGAGCACACAGGTTTTAAACATTTATAAACTGGTGGCATAAACCGGTGAATAATATACCTAATAAAACTTTAAAATATTTTAGAGACGGGCATACTTATATTAGTGAAGTCCTAGAGCGAAAGCATAGGCCGAACCCTACACTAGACTTAGACTAAAAGAAATGTTGTTGAATTGCTGTATAATAGATACAAAGTCCTATTAAAGGTCCATAGACAGTACCCCAGCCTCGTTTCAATATTCAGACATGAACTTCAATTTGAAGTTAAACAAATTAATATTTCGGGTTAATATGCCAGTAAAAAGTCGAGTACTACTTGGTTTTCATTTATTGTGATTATCTGAAACTATTGCTGTTGGTTTCGTGTTGTAGTTTCGGTAATTTCAGTGAAATGTTTAGGTGTTTTGTTTTTTGGTTGTAATAAAAATGTGTATCAAAAACTCAATGCTGAAGAACAATTAGAAAAATCTGAGAAGATTATTAAAAATAGGGAGAAAAGAAATCTAATAATGTTTGGGAAAATAACAGTTATCAAATCACCGATTATACCCAATATTACTTTTTTAACATCTGTTTCGCACATAGGAAAAGAATACATTGATAAATTTTAAAAAGTTATTTATCAATTCTTATGGAAAAGCAAAATAGAAAACGTTCAACGTAAAGTATTAGGCTAAAAATTGCTAGATGGTGGTTTAAAAATGATTAACATAGATAAATACATAGAATCTATCAAAATTGGGTGGATTAAAAGATTAATATATGGACATTTAGCCAACTGGAAAGTTATACCATTATTTTATTTTAATAAATTTAGCAAGAATTTCCTTATCTTTCATATGAACATTGATGGTATTCCAGGTTTAAATAAGCTGCCAGAATTTTATTTGAATATAGTAAAAGCATGGGTAAAAACAAAAAACAAAAATAGAACAGCCAAAAAATTTAGATCTATTCGTCATCAAGTTATTTGGAGAAATCAGTTCATCAAGATAAAAAAGTGCCTTTTATTTCAAAACTGGATATCTATGTAAACGACATTATAGATAAAAATGGTAACATATTAGAGAAACATATTTTACAAAAGCTCAAGATGAAATATAATTGGATGTCAAAATTTTATCAATTAAGGAAAGCTTTTAAAAAAGAATGGTTAAATACTTTACAACAAGAAAATTCAAAGAAAACTAAAGTAAAAACAAATTATGTAATATACATAAATAAGAATTGTAATTACATATGTGTATAGAAACATTAGAAAATGTAAACACTAAGAAA